TACATTTATGATGTACATGTATTTCTGTATGAATTTTTTCAATTTAAGCTTCAGAGGCAAAAAAACTTGTTGTGGTATACTATCTAAAATAAATATATGATAAATACGTGATATACTGTTTGCTCATTCACTCTACGGTTCTCCTACTAGAAGGTAAACTCCATAGATGCTTCCCTGAATCAACAGTGCCTGGACCAGGGCTAACATTGAACAGATGCTCAATGCGTATTATTGAATGACTGAGTAAATGAAAGATACTAAAAAAACAAAACAGATGAGATACTTAAAATAGCACAGAGAATTACAAAATTGAACAGATATATATCTTTGTAATTGGTAAAGAAATGTATAATTATAATACTCTGTAATAAAAACATTATTTGGGCATTTATACAAATATAGGTTTATGGCAAAATAAACTAAAATTGAAATCTTTGGGCTATATTTAATACTATGCTCTGGAAAGGATGACTGCATTCTAGAAGGCTTTTATGCGATGACTCAAGGCAAAAAGCTACAGCTAGCTAAAATAAATACACATAAACAAAAACATTGCTGGGAAAGACAGATAAAGTAAATCCCTTTTATATATTTAGACCTGCTTTCAATTTACAAGCCAGAAACTGAAGACAGATACTTGTTAAATAATATTTGACTTCTTTCATATTCTCCAGTATATTAGAGTACACTCGTGCCCACTAGGAAGCAGCATATTCTCCCATTCCAGCTCTTTACTGCAGTCCTACGGTCTTTGAATTTTTCTTGGCTACTCCCTCCAAGATTTGCCTACATGCTAGTCTATTATCATTATGATCAATCAATCTTCAGTAAGTACCCAAAAGTTTATAGGACACTTGACTAGAGTTTGGAGAATCAGGCCACATATTGGGAATAAAAATAATATTATAAACTGAAAATAATTACTTGTGCATTAGAAAAGAAATAACATATTTAACAATGTAAGAAATGATTTGAGTATCTATCCAGTAATTGATTGAAAATGACTAATTTTACTTACCAAAATGCTGCAGGATTTTGGTAGAGATATGGAATATGGAAAAATGTTTTTGTTCCTTTGCTTTAATACATCAGTTACTGAAGAATTAAAAAATTGTTTCAGGTATGATTGAAGAACTCTAAGGTCAAAATAGTTATCTATACGTCCTCCATAAATAGCATTTTCAAGTAAACCATGCACAAATTCCCACTGTACATCTTTGGTACCTATAATTAAAAAAAAAACCTTTATTAATTTCATTTCTAAAATCTTAACTAAATTCCTGGCTCCAGTCATCTTTTCAGGATATAGCAACATATACTTAATACAACTAAATCATTTCTTTAAATGATCATTAATAGCAAAAACTAATATTTATTGAGATTATTTAATCAAGTGAAATTTTCCAAATTATTTTACATGTATAAACTCAATCCTCATAGCAAACACAGAAGTATTAATATTATAGAATTACACACATGGAGAAATTAAGGCATAGGGAGGTTGGGTCACTAAAATGAGAAAGTTACACAATCCCACAGAGCTGAATTGGAAATGAGGTGCTCTGAATCCAGAGCCGTCCTCTTATCTACCATATTATACCAGCTAATTAAATTGAAAATGCCTTAAAAGAACCTATGCAAACATCATTTTATACAATGTTTGATGAAAACACTCAGTTCATAAAATAATCTGATTAATAGGGAAACTATACAAAACACCTTCATACATTATAGTCTTGGAAACATGATTATTTACACAGTCAACTATCCATTTTCTATTGTAACAGAAATGTAGTATTAAAAAAACACAATGGAGCTTCTTCTGTAAGATATTATTTCATTTTGCAACAGACACGTCCTCATAACAATTCATTGGTAATGTGCAATGCAATAATTAAATCTCAGATCTGCAGTAAATACAGGAAACACATAACTAAAACTACCTAGTTAACTTTGTTGCTAGCATTACGAGTTTAGTTCTATTGCATTACTATAACATTTAGAGATAATCACAAAAATTGATGGCAGTATTACTACATGCCTTGGGACATAAGTGATTTAGGTTGCCTCCTGCAGTTGCTAAGGGCACTTACGTAGTGGAGGAATAATTAAATTTGTTTTCTGCCTATATATTATTGTTAACAGTGGCTAAATAGCAAAGGACTTTGCCAGGACTCAATTTCCTAGTTCTGCCTTGACACTCACTAAATGATACATGAGCAATGGATATGCCAGTCATCGATAAGTCAGTCACTAAGGAATATAGACATATTAGTGTACCTTTCAACTTATAAAATAGAAGAATCAGCCATTATATGAAATATTTTACAGAATTTTTATAAAAAAA